TTTTTTTTTTTTTTTTTTTTTTTTTTTTCCACCCCCCTTCCCAGTATTCTGGATCCAGCATGTACACAGCACCTGCCGCTGTGTCCAGGACTGCACTGCATGCACGCATGTCCAGGGATATGTGGTGCATGCAGTGATTGCTTCAGCTGGTCTAGGACTCGCATATGGGTCAACTCTGAGTTGCACGGGCAGTATTGGAGGTGCTGCAGGCTGGATCTGTCCTATGCACTGCATCTTTGACACATCTCATCTAAAAACATCCAAGTTCCATCCCTTTTTACTAAGAAGTCTTCATAATCTGAAGCGGTCTGTAAATGGGGAAATAATCTGATCATGCTAGGTTCTTACAGAAAATCATATTTCTAGCAGCTGTAAATTTAGCACTTGGTCCATATGCTTCCCCCCCTCTCTGCCCCCCCACCCACAAAAAAAAATCTCTCTCCAGTTTATTTCCTGATGGGTAAATAAGGGACAAATAAAATAATCCTGCTGCTTGAGCTTTTCTTGTATGATGCTGTCAAATATTGCTGGACAGTGGTCAAATCTGAAAATTGAGTTTGTTTTGTAGATCTCTTCAGGTTTTCAGTGTGTGTATTCCTAACATTTTGATAATTTAACTTCTAAAGTTCTTTCATTTTTCAGTTCAAAGACGACCATCTATGTTGACAATACAAGTTTACAATATTTCATAAACAAAACAGTAAATTTGCTCTGCTGATTATCAGATTTCATCTTAATTTTCCTTGTCCTTGATTTGTGTATCCAATTTGGTGAAATACTATACTTTTTGGTACTTGTGTTTCTCCCCAGAATGACTCTAACTGAGCTTAATACTAGCAACCTTTATCTTTCCTGTCAAAATGGTTTGCTGTTGATTTTTCTTGGATTGATCCTATTCTTAGTTTCAGGGTTTTTTGTACGAGTAATTTGGTATTTAATGGAGATTTGTTTTTAAATGATGATGCAACACCTGTCTTTTAATCAGCTTTCCTTTAGCATTAAGAAGCTGGAGATCAAGAATGATTTCTTACCTAAAACAATCACTATAAATATTAAACTGTTCACTTATTATTAGTATTTGGCTCGTGAGTGCAGCAGAAAGACCACACAACCTGTACTACATTTGTTAATAATGTAGGACCTTCAGCAGAAATCTTCTTAAGTTCATGCAGTTTTGATGTAAACAAAGTCCTGTTTGTACTGGTTTAACAAAAAAAATTAGCTGATAAGGCTAGATCACTTGCTACAGTTAGTGTCATTGCTTGCTATGCAGACAATTTTTGCTTCCTTTAACAATGCAGGAAAATACTAATTTTTACTTAGCTGTAGCTATAGAATTGGGCAGGTTGTATCCCAGCAGTGGAATTGCAAGGAAAGTGTTAGTAGTGGCAGAGCTTTTTCTAGTGTGTATCTTATTACATCAGAGTATTATGTATACTGATTTTTCTTTAAATAATAATTTTTTTAAACTGCACAATTAATAAATAGGGACCTACTTAGGGGTGAGGGGGGCAGCTGCCATCTTGTCTGCTAGCTTTCATGCCACCCTGCCAGCTCATGCCTGCCTACTGGGAAGCCAGCATTTTATTTTTATGAAGGGTTTCTTTTTGTTGTTGATTTTTTCATGGACAGTCCCTTATTTTGTGGTTTCTAAGAAACTTTTAATTAAGTAGGTCCCAACTAGTAGGGCTTTGTAGGTCCCTACTAATAAGGGATTGCTTGATGTCTGTCTTCCCACCTCCCACCAAATTCTGAAAGCCAGGATCTGGCTGCATGCTGACCTGATCCTGCATGGGGTGATCGGTGGGCCTGATCTGGTATGCAGGGACATGATATATGGCCCACGGGGCCCCCTGAAAGTTGGGAAAGTTGGCATTAGTGGAGTGGCAATTAACATTGCCACTGCTTAGCTTCTGCCAAATTTCAGGACCCTTGGGAAACTCCATGGGCCAGGGGCTTAGCCCCTGTATGAATCTTTCATATTCACTCATTCCACAAAATGTTTCTTTTGGGCAGATCCTTTTGCCTTAGAACAGTTTTCAGGATCAGACCTCTAGTTTTTGGTTGAGTTCAAGACTTGACAAACAAGATAAATCTTCTTCCTGAATCCAGTGCGTGTTGTATTGACAGGAGAGGGTGGACCTGCGCACCATAACGTGTGCAGCCTGTACACTCTCTGAAAGAGTCATTGCACATTGTCCGCATCTTCTGAAGACTCACCAACTGTTGGTGTGTGTTTTCTGTGGCAGTCAAATCTTCAAAAGAGTCACCTTGTATTGACAAAACAATGCAGGAGAGAGAATTGCATTCTAATGTGAAGCTTAGTATGCCAGAAGAGTACATAAAACATTTAAAAAGAAAATAAAAAAATTCAAGTTATCTCCGCAACTTAAGATGCTTTAAACTCATCAACAGTCCAGGCTCCTCCTATTTAAACTTTTCAAGGGTTTGTATATGTAGAGGTCTTGTCTTAACATCTCCTTTTCTTTAAAAATAAATAAAAAATCACTCTGGTTACAACTGAGTGTCGTCTTATTTTTGCTGTAGTAAAAATCCATAATGAGTGTTTACCTTTTGTATTGTGCATCTGTTGTAACCATTGTCTATCTGTCCTTCTGTTTCCTTTCTCCAAGTTTTTATGTGGTCCTGCCACATGTCTTTAGGCAAGGAATTATGACTGATCTGTCAGTGAAGTGTCACTTGGATTCAAGGGCCAGTATAAATAATCCAGGAGAAAGTTGATTTTTCTGCATTAATTATGGTTAGATTGAGCTCCCTGCAGGCCTAACTCTGATTATTAGAGTTTTGTCTGTACTCTAGTAAAAAGGAACCGATGCTTTGCCAACCTGCCAGTCAGTTAAATGAAAAGTAAAAGGTTCACATCCTGCTGCTTTTTTTTTTATTGTTATTGTACATTACATATGTGGTACATACTCAAGTATTTAAACAGAGGAGATTTCTGTTTAAATAGGAAGGGAAATTTTTAAATGCAAAAGACCATGTCTAAATTCAACTTAAATGTACATGTGAGGAAGGTATCTTAGTTCCCATGGGTTATATAATAGAGCGGGGAGGGAGATTACACTCTACATGGTGAAATCATGCAAATTACTATACATGCAGAAGACGTTAAAACCACTGAAATTAATCTATTTAAATTTCCTAGCCACTGTTCTGATGTCTGTCCTTCTTTTTTTAACAGAACCATTTCTAACCATGAGAAATAAGATACAATATTCATGTTTGGTTCAGTCTTTGGCATCTTAGCTGTGCGGCAAAAGCTGTAGCTTTTGATTTGTCTAAGTACTAATTTAATTGTGAAAATGACAGTCATCCAACTGTTGGGCTGGTTGACCTGTCTCTTAAGGTTAATAGTATTTTATAGCATTCTGTTTGGTCCCTGATGCTAGAGCATGTGGAGGTGAGCTAGTGTTGTGTTTCTTTTGTCCTTTGACTGACATAAAGGAAATAAGTTACTGCAAAGTGATCTAGGGTGTGAAGGAACAGCACGTTTCATTACTCCACATTTAATGGCCTGTGTTTGAGGTAGGTCACTTGGTCAAGGGCAAGCTGCATCACAGTTAAGGTAAGAGTGTGCAGACAGGCAGTTTCCACAGAGCAGCGAACATGCTTGAATTCACACCCTTGCTTCGCAGTAACTTGTTTGTGCAGCTGTAATCAAAGGAATGATGGAATTATCTGCAGAGAATAACTGACTAATCCTTTTGGAATCATAATAAATGCATTCATTACCATGTGCCATAGGAGACATGGCAGTTGGTGGATTTTGCAATGTTGTACACGGCATTACTTGCAAGAAAGTAGAGGGCATCATGTGGTTAGTGTTGCAAAATAATGCCTAGACTCTCATGACATGCAGAGAGATCAGACTGCCTTCATTAGCAGTTACACTTGTCATTGCTTGAAAATGCTAATTATGAACTTGATTTTCTTTTTATATATGTAGGGTGTGGATTCAGGAGTGGTTCCCAGTGTTCATGATTTTGATAAGAAACTTACGGAGGCAGATGCTTATTTACAGATCTTGATAGACCAGCTGAAGGTATGTTGAACTAACTTTTCCACGCCCACAGAGTAGCTAGCAGGAGCTCTGCTCTTAGTCTCGGGCCCTGTTCTGAGGACAGCTGGGGAGGGGGACTTGCCCAAATACTTCAGATGTACAGTGCAGCCGCAGAGAAAACCTTGTCCTGCTTCAGGAAAGGCAGGAGAGCAAATGAATGAACTGAAGAGTCATACTATGATGAATCTGTCAGGAAAAAAAAAAAAGGTGTCAGTCACAGCTTCATCCTCTCCTTGGCTTAAGGCTGAACCATAAAAAGAGATTGGGAAAAGTGTGGCCGATTCCCAACCAAGAAGATAAAAGCTTTGATAAACTTGAAGGGAAAACTCAAAATGTTGTTTTTTCTCAGGTATATGGTGCAAGTAAGATTTGAATTGGTAAATGAATAATAAGAAACTTAAGTGTTTTTAAAAATATATATTTTTTGGTAATTGGCAGAAAGATTTTAAATTGAATTTAAGTTTGTAGTGGACTTCTTAGAATCATCATGCTGCCCCTCAGCTTGAGTTTTCTTGGATCCTGCCTCTGCTGCTGTTCCAGTTTATAGTGCTAACTATAGTTGCTATCATCTGAGGAAACTTTGCCGTGTTAGTGTGTATCCTGCTACGTGATCATGGGTAACTTGTTGTAGGAGCAGAACACACAATCTTTTTGCTTCCTGTTTTTTGTGTCTGTTTTGAGCTTGGGTGGAAAGATGAGGAATTACAAAGTTATCTTGCATAGCACCATGCTGTTGAAAGCAGTGTAAAACTTCTTGTTCCTGCATAGGGTATTTTTTCTTATGACCCAGCAGATTTAAAGCTGACTTCAGATGGTCTCTTTTGCCGATTTTTATTATTGGGCAAGTCCTGTGTGGAATTTGGTTAGGTGTGTGAAGGGTACTAGTTAAAAGTGAACCTGAGTAGTTGGATGAGATGCAGCCAGAATAGAGAGCTGGTCCAGGACGTGGCTTTGTTGCCCTTGTGTGAGTAGGGGCTCGAAGCGTGGAACAGGTAGCACTTGTTTTTGAAGGACAGGGCTAACAGAAGAAGAGATAGAGACAGAAGACTGAAGCTGATGCTTTTTAGTTCCATCTAATACCTTATTAAATATGGTACTGGAAATAAATACTGGGAAATGAAATGCTAACACTTTTCAAGCCCTCCTACATCATCCTTTTTTCTTCTTAAAAGAAAAGGGGTGGGGAGGGGCAGATACTTAGAAGTACATAGGCCAACTCATACAGTATGCAGTCTGAAGACTAAAAACACTTTTTTTGGAAATATAAAAATAGAGCCTTTTTCCATCTTCTCTCTCTACCGGTTATGAACAAAACTGATCACCCTAAGGCTTTTTGTGCTGTTGGTTTTTTTGTTTTTTCCTGAATGATTTGCATTCCTCCAGAGAGAGGGTGTATATTAAAATGACTTACACTTTTTACACTTTGGACAAGCTATGCTTGTTTAAGTTAGGGTTAGCTTAGAACTCTTGACAAGGTGCTCTTCTGACTCCAAATGTCAAAAGATCAAGCATTATTTCAGTGTAAATTGGATGCCTTAACATCCTTTTAAATTAGCAGGAGCAGGTAAGCGTGTTTAAGGCTGGAGTTGTGAGGAGGCAGGGCAGGGTAGCACATTGGAGATGGGTATGTTTATGCATCTCTGAACTGGCTGTTTCATCACAAATTATGAAAAATGGGGATAAACAGGGAAAATCAACTGGGAAATAAAGCAGGATTACCTTTCGATTAAAATCCCTTGTGAGAGCCATTATTGCATCTTTAAATAGAATTTTGAGGTCTTCACTTTTAACCAACTAGATCTGGGATTTTAATACCGCTAGTCCCTTTCTTATCTTGCATTTGACCTCAGTTGTGTTATGAGTCACAGATGTCTTTCTTAAATTGCTTATGCCAACTAGAAATTAAATACATTCTGTACCTTTTGGCTGCTTTCAAATGTAATCTACTGCTTGCCTCCAACAGCTGACTCCAGCTTGCCTAGTTATCTTTTCCAGCTTAATACCCTATTTCATTTTTCTTTTATGCTTAAAGGTAAAATTAAATTTGAGGTAATAGTATTTGGGAGACTGCTTCCCAGTAGTAATTGGGACACAAGCCCTAGCAACATCAATAGCGTTTGATCCCTGTCAGGAGAGTGTTCAGCAGCCTAGGCTGGGATTGGGACTTGTAGTGTGTTAGGTGTTTTATAGAACTTGCAATGCACAGGTTCTTCTGATTTTTGAAGATACTTCAGTCCAAAATAAGAGTGAAAAGCATGTTGCCTTGTTGGAGTTGTTCTGAAGAATGACTTTGTCCTTAGAAGACAATTTGCTTCTTTTATAGGATCCTAAATCACATCAGGCTTCATTGCCTAAGATGGGCTGGATGGGAATTCCCTTTTATTACTTTACTTGGCTCTTTTTAATCAAGCATGGAACAATGCCTGCCCGCGTATCTGGGGGCTGATCACTGGTAACTAATTTTGGTCAGTTGCAAGGCATTGTGAAATGTTAATTATCATGGCACAAACACACTCTAAAAAGAAATTAATGTTGTAGATCATGTTTATGTGCTTACAGGTCGTAACCACTTGTTAAATATTTTGCTTTGTTTTCAAGATTGTAGAGTTGCAGCCTGGTTGACATGCAGGAAAAACAGCAGTCACATTATTTCTCAGAAATGTATCTTTTTTTTCCTTAGTTGTTCGATGAAAAGCTTCATAACTGCAAAGATGATGAACAGAGAAAAGCAAGTACACTTTCTTATATATCACTTTTTCCTTTTTGAATGTTTGTTTTTCTTCAGTCTGGTATAATCATGCATTGTCTTAAAGCCTCACTTTTTGATTTGCAGTTTCTGTATCTTTTAAAAAGAACATAACCTATCTTTCTTATAACTGATTCTTAGAAGTTACCTAAAGTAACAGGAACATTTAAACTTTTTAAATAGCTTGTATATGGGATACTTTTATAATGGAAGCTTTTGAATCAGTAAAACCAGTTTTGGGCTGCAGTAAATGGTTTGGTTACCTTCTTAAGTGCATTAATGCCTTTTTTTAATGATGAAAACTGTCACTAAAATTTGCTGAAATAACAAGATAATCTGTTTCAAAAATAGATGCTGCATGACTACAGTGTATACGTGGCATGGTTTTCCACTGTATAGTAGCACACATTTGGAGCTCTCCAAATTTTACAATATTAAGAATGACTGTGCCTTACCTTTTGATCAGTCTTAACTCATCCTTTCTAGTTACCTTGGTTGTTGTTTTTTTCTTTCTTTCTTGACCACACTTCAACAAAAGGGGTGTTTGGGGTAATGAAGAGGGCTATATTAATGAAGTAATTGACATGATGGTATTTTTCATGGTTTTCAATTTTCATACAGTGTAGACTGTAAAAGAGATCAAACCCTGGGTTCCAAAACATATCAAACCATGAGTTTGCTTGAAAATTTTCCTTAAACTGGCTTATATTTTTCACCCTTTGAACTGTCATTCTGAAAGCAAGGGAGAAGGACAGAATACCTGAAGTTTCCAGATCTTTAGAAAAGATGAATATATTATTCAAACTTCCTTTTTTTATAGTGGTTAATTATTTTAAAGGGGGTGGGGGGTTGGAAATAGGCATTTAATGAGAAGTCATTATTCCATTATATTAACGTGGAATAATGTGGAAAGAGTCGGATTTTGGAAAGTGTTTATTTTCTCTCGTTTTTCCTCTTACCCCAATCTGAAAAATAAGCTGTTTGTTTAAAGTATTGTTGGCAATTTGAGTACAATTTGATGCTTCCTCTGCAGGTAGCAAAGAAACTTGCTGACCCTGCTTATTTTATTTCTGGACATAATTATATATAAAGGATATGACCTTGAATGTATTCTCCCTGAAGTCTGGTTTCTCATTATGGCAGATCAGTTGTTGTTGTTTTTTTTTGTTTTTTTTTAAGTCTGTCGTCTTAAGATCTCTCCATTTC